AGCGCCCGTGGTGATGCTGGTCCCTGTCACAGCACAGCCGAGCGCCTCCTGCCTGGCGCCAAGTTCCACCGGTACGTGAGTGGCCCACGCAGCGTCGTGCGCTCCCCCACGCCCTACGCCGTCCCCGCGAAGCTGGCAGAGCACCTCGACTTCGGTAGGAGCTGTCACATGCAGGCTCAGCCTCCCACTGCCGAACCCAACTTGCCCCACAGAGCAGCCTGGACGGGTGTCTCCCGCAGCTCCCAGCCTCTCCTCAGCCTGCTCCTGCCCCAGGGTCTCTGCCCCTCCACAGGAAAAGGGGCCATGCCTTGTCACCTGGCACCTACTGTTCCTGAGCGTGTGCTGGGGAGGCAAAGGATGCAAGAGCCGGGCACGCAGCCAGCTCTGGGGCAGACAGAGCAGGGAGCCCAGTTGCACAGGGAGCAGAAGGAGATCCTGGGCTCCCAGAGGCGCATGGGGCAGCATCAGCCCCAGCCTGCGGTGAGCCTGCAGGGGTGGCAGGTGCAAAGCTTCAGAGCCCTGGGCTGCAGCTGGCACTAAAGTGCCCTGCAGGTCACCCTGCACTGGGCCCTGTGGCACAGCAGTGCCAGGGGAGTTGGCTGCAAGGGGAGAGAGAGAGCCCCATCCTGTTCCCCTTGGCGCTGGGGTCTCCCAGGATGGTCTCCCCTCCAAGCACTGGCCCCTCCCTGCCCAGCCACAGAGGCCACGGTGTGCGGCAACCCTGGCTGCTCCCTCTGCACATGGGTTGTGGGTGGGGAGGGGGTTAAGCCCCATTGGCAGCGGGTGCCCTGCCCCTGACGGCCTGTTCCTGGTGCAGTGGGAGGCCTGCACCGGTTCCCTGCGAAGCGGAAGGTGGTGAGCAGGGCCTGGGCCACAGAGCCGACACCTGGAGCTCAGTCCCAGCAGGGGGGCTTCCACCTGGGCGTGACGCCCTCTGTCCTCCGCAAGCGATACAACCTGACGAAGGAGGACATCGGGGCCCTGCCCAACAACAGCCAGGCCTGTGCCCAGGTAACTGCAGGGGACCCCCCCCCCTCCCCTAAAAGCAGCTGGGCAGTTCACCCAAGCAATGCTCACAAGAAATGACAGGTGAGCAACCCGATCAGTCACTGTGGTGAGAGCTGCTCCAACAATCTCTGGGGCTGTGCCTGAGTCACCGTAAGAACCCCCCAGTAGCGCTAACCGCTGGACCTGCGCTCAGGTCACCATAGTAACATCTCTCTTGACAACTGCTGGGCCTGGACTTGGGTAATAGTGACATCACCCCTTGACAATCATCAGCCCTGTGCCAGGGTAACGTGGTGACATCCCGGAGAACCACCGGGCTTATGTCTGGGTGACCACACTTAGCACCAACAGCATGGAGGTGTCAAGAATTGTAGCATTGTCAAGCAGCTGGGCTTGTGAGACCCATGAGGGGCACAGCTTCTCCAGCCCCTGCTCTAGGCGGGATCTGCCTCATCCAAGTCCCGTCCTCCCAGACATGTCCCTGCCTGACCTGTTCCTAACACCATGTCGCCACCCCTGAGAGCCCCAGCCCTGCACCAGGGGATGCGGGTGTCTGCATCCTCTTGCTGACTGTGGCCTCACTGAAGAGGAAGGTGAAACCCCCTTAGCTGGTCCAACCTATGATGGGGGGGAGAATCCCTTCCTGCCCCCAGTGCAGCATCAGCCTGAGCCTGAACAGGGGAACAAGAACAAGGACCCTGCGGGGCTGGTCCTGGCAGGAGCATTGGCACAGCCCAGGGGAGGGTCAGCTGCTTGTGGCACCTGGGGGTTGGGACACACCTGCTTGGGGTGGGGGAGGCCCTGCCCCTGGGACCAGAAGGGCCTGTCTCACCCCTGCCTTGTCCCCCAGTTCCTGGAGCAGTACTTCCACCAGGCCGACCTGGCCGAGTTCATGCTGCTCTTCGGGGGCAGCTTCGGGCACCGCTCCTCTGTGGACCATGTGGTCGGGCAGCAGGGCCGGGGCAAGGCGGGGCTGGAGGCCAGCCTGGACGTGGAGTACATCATGAGTGCCGGCGCCAACATCTCCACCTGGGTCTTCAGCAACCCAGGTACTCTCCCTCTCCAGGGCTGCCCTGCCCTGGGTGTTGGGGGAAGGTCGGGGAGCTGCGAGGGGGAGCACTCCCTAGCAACATGGCTGGGTTGGATGCCTGGGCTGTGGGGCACAGATGCAGCTGGGCTTGCCTGAATCAGGACAGCAGGTGCAGTTTGGAGCCTCCATCCCCTCTGCAGCTTCCGGGTGTCTCATGATCGTGACACAGTGTCAGTCATGGAGTCACCAGGGCCCGTGCTTGGCTCCATCACCCCCTGCTCATGCTCGGGTCACCCCTGCTGACGCTTTGACTCTTTTAGCCCCAGCCTTGGCCTGCGACTGGTTCAGCTCATTGTCCTCAGGGTGGGCCCTGGGCTGGGCAGAGTGGTCAGGGGACCTGTTCTTGCGCTACCTCCACCTCACGGTCCCCTTGGCAATGGCCGCGCAGGGTCTGACCCTTTGGCTGCCCGGCAGGGAGGCATGAGACCCAGGAGCCCTTCCTAGCCTGGCTGCTGCTGCTCAGCAACATGTCGGCGCTGCCCTGGGTGCACTCGGTGAGCTACGGGGACGATGAGGACAGCCTGTCTGGTGCCTACCTGCAGCGTGTCAACATTGAGTTCCAGAAGGCAGCGGTCCGGGGCCTCACTGTGCTCTTCGCCTCCGGTATGTGCTGCCTCACCACATGGTGACCCTGGTGCCTGTCAGGCCCCAGCCCCAATGGGGCTTGCTGGGCTGGCGCATAGCAGAGCAGACCCTGTTCGGGCATTTGCAGGATCAGATAGACACAGGAGTTTGCAGGTACGAGGGCCCTTTGCTCTAGGCTGCCCGGCCCGGCCTGCCTTATGTCTCCCACAGACAGGGGGATCTTTCCTGCCAAGCAGCTGGAGGCCCACAGGGCTCTTCAGCCCAGGTGTCCCAGCCTGCCCTAGCGCCTCCCAAGTCAGTGCCAGTCTGTGGCCCTCACGGGGCCACGTGAGAAGAGACGTCCTGAGTGACCCAGAGTCTCTGCCTTACAGGGGATGAAGGTGCCGGCTGCAGGAAATCCCCTGGGGGGGCCCACGCCTTCCGGCCCAGCTTCCCAGCTTCCAGGTAACCCATGGGAGCCCTGTGCAGCCTCCCCAGGGCAGTGCCATCGTCGGCCTTGTGCCCAGGGGAGCCCTGGGCAAAGCGGCTCCAGTGAATGCCAGCTGCAGGCCAGGGCTGCGTTTGCAGGTGACTTTTCCTGTGGGTGGTGGGAGGCCTGGCCACGCGGGAGGTGGGCAACCAGGAGCCAGTGTAAGCTGAGAGGGGCACCGAGACCCCGGCGCAGCACAAAGGGGCTATGAACTGCTGTGTCCCTACAGCCCCTACGTGACCACGGTGGGTGGCACGGCCTTTAAGAACCCCTTCCTGGTGTCCGTGGAGGTGACTGACTACATCAGTGGTGGTGGCTTCAGTAACGTCTTTCCTAGGCCAGACTACCAGGTGCCCCCCTCCCCGCCATCCCCTCCAGTACAGGGGTGGGCTGGGACAGGCTTGGGGAGGCAGTGCTGGTGCAGCAGGGGCAATGGGCACTGGGTGATGCTGGGAGCAGGGGTTGGGTGTGGGCTGCAGGAACAGGGCATGACTGACCCCCCACCCCGTCCCCGCAGGCCGCAGCGGTGAAGAAATTCTTGCAGTCGGCCACCAAGCTGCCGCCCAGCTCCTACTACAACAGCAGTGGCCGCGCCTATCCTGACCTCGCTGCCCTGTCTGACAACTACTGGGTGGTGTCGAACCGTATCCCCCTGCCGTGGGTGTCCGGCACCTCAGTAAGGAGCACGCTGGGCAATCGCTCCACCATGGCTGCCTGTCTCTGTCCATGACTGCCCTGCAGTCCAGGCTGCCCCCTTCAATACCTCCCCCCAACTCCCGCACACTCTGAGCTGCCCCCTCTTCTCCCTGCAGGCATCCACTCCAGTGGTCGCGGGCATCGTGGCACTGATCAACGACCGGCGCCTGCAGCGAGGGCTGCCCACCCTGGGCTTCCTGAATCCCATACTGTACAAACTCCAGGAGAAGGGGCCTAGCGCTGCGCTCTTTGATGTGAGTGAGGGCAGCAGTGGTCAGGGTGGTGATGAGCACTGCTTAGGGATGATAGGCGAGGGCAGGCAGGGGCCTGCCCTCTCCAGCCACTGCTTGTCCTGTGGGATCTAGGCAGGCGTCCTGCTTCCAACCTCCAGCACAGCACAACTTCTCCAGGGGCGCGTAGGAGCGACTGCCAGGCCGGGGCCTGCACTGACTAGACTTTCTGTCCCCCCCAGGTCACCCAAGGCTGCCACCTGTCGTGTCTGGATGCCGTCGTGGAAGGGCAGGGCTTCTGTGCTGTCCCCTCCTGGGACCCCGTCACAGGGTGGGGCACTCCCAACTACCCACAGCTCCTGAAGGCACTGCTGGCTGCATGACGCCTGCCTGAGTGGGGCTGAGAACAGGCGCGACTGTGCAGCCGGCAGAGCAGACCCAGCCCATGGATCCCCTTCCCCATGGGCACATGTGTGGCTCCCCCCTCTCCCCATGCTCTGGTGCTGGAGCTTTTGCTGGCAGGAAGGGGCCTGAGTTCTGTCCCTGTGTGTGGCGCCAGTGACACAAACATGCTTTCCTCGTGGACTTCCCCTGGGCCTGGAACGGCTGGAGGGGCCTCGGGTGGCCTGGCCTGGGGCCCATCCTCCCTTCCAACCGCTTGCTTGGCTGGAGCAGGGGTCTCGACCCTGCAGACCCGAGCACCCTCCAGAATCTCAGAATGTAGCAGCCACCCTTAAAAACAAATCCGACTCAATCATGCGTTTGATAATCAGATCATAGTTTTATAAATTAGCTTGTTAACAGGTAATTAAGTCATTTTAATTACATTCCCTGTATCTACTGCTGTGCCCCTGCGGCTGGGTGAGACAACAGAGCCAGCTAGGGAAGTGGCAGGGGCAGCACTGCACGCTCTGGCCGCAGTCTTCCTGTTCCAGCCCTGCGGTGAGTCCCTGAAACAGCCGCTGGCCCTGCCCTGCAGCCTCTGAGCACAGAGGGATGTTGCAGCTGAGCTGGGGAAGGAGCAGCCTGGGCTGCGGCAGCAGCTGCCCAGCCATGCTCGCTGCAAACCTGCTGGTACTGGGCAGGGCTTGCAGCCCCCCCTGTGCTGCAGCAGTGCCCTGGCAGGGGCGGTGCAGCCCCTGCGCGACCTCCCAGCCTGTGTGCTCTCTCCCAGGGCAGACGCGGGGTGGAGGAAATAAAAGCATTTGGCCCTCATGTCTGTGTCTGTGTGCCTTGAAGGGGCTGGGGCAGGGGTGGGCATGGCTGGGGGACCTGGTGGGGAGCAGCAGGGTCTGGCCTGGGCGGTCACCAGGCCTGGAGTGCTGGGTGGAGGAGGTGGTGGGGGATCCCTGCCTGCTGGGGCCATAGCCCCACCATGGCACACCAGCTCAGCGGCCCCAGGCCCTGGGTGCAGAGTGCTGCTGGGGGCTGGCGGTGCCCCACCGTCTGCTCCGAGCATTGACTGGTTCTGTTAGCTCTTTGGGGAGCTCCAGCTGTGCCCCATAGGGCATCCCTCCCGCCAGCTCCAGCTGTGCCCCTGGGGCATCCCCCGCTCCAGCTCCAGCTGTGACCCGGCTCCCCGTGTTGCGTTCGCCCGACCGCCAGGGGCCGCCTCGCCGGCCCACGGCACCGCTCTAGGCGCAGGCGTCTGTCTCGGTGGTGCGGCGCGCGCCGCTCT